GGTGAAAAAGAAAAAGCATGTTTTTGATAACTTCTAGGTTTCTAAATTGGTGACTAGATGGGTGACAGTGTGATTTTCTGAGATAGGAGTTAAGTAAACAGGGAATCAGCTGCAATTTTTTGTTTGTATTTAATGCATATCATTTTGTTGTTATGGTGGAACTTATGGTGGATGGGATCAAAATAAATAATTAATAAACAATTTACATTTTGGATTTGTTACGTGAGTGCCTGTCAGATCTCTAGTTGACGTACCTCTGAATCAAGAGTTTAGGTGAATATTATTAAGATATTTGAATTAACCATGATTATCCCATCCAATCCCACAACATCAGTCATGCATGGATGATCCTCTAGAATAAACAGAGGAATCAGAATGGAAGAAGCTTTAGGAAACACTGATATTTAAGTGGATGAGAAGCTAGCAAAGGGCAATGTGGTTCATGAATATCATGGGGCTCTGGGAGTCAATAGATAGGAGCTTTAAGAAAGGTATAGTTGACAGGGTAAGTTATATATATGGAACACAGAGCCTCCAGGACAAAAGCAATAATATTTAGAAACTAAAAAAAATGTGACATTCAACAAAAGAGCCCTAGAAAATACTCTTAATGAAAAAAATCAGTTGTATCAGAACAAAGTGCTTGACAGCTCTTTAGGAACATAGTCAGCTTGTGGAAAAATCTTATAAAAATTCTGTCCATGTTTTAACCCACACAAATTATAATCCTCCAGTAAAAGTTTCTATGACCACATCTCTCACAGTTTCTTTATCTTTAAAGTTTGATTACATTGATTGTTCTATAAACTGAACATAAATTGTTTAATATTGGATAATGTTTGTTTCAGGCAAGGACCTTACAGTTCATATTTCATGTGCCTTTAAATCTCTCATGGAATTTAATAAGTGGATTTGGTTTCATAGTAGAGCTTTATGAGGCTTCCCCGGTGTCTCAGGCGGGAAAGAATCTGTCTGCAATGCAGGGGACCTGGGTTCAGTGTCAGGTTTGGGAAGATCCCCTGGAGAAGGGAATGTCTACCCACTCCAATTTTCTTGCCTGGAGAATTCCATGGACAGAGGAGCTTGATGAGCTACAGTCCATGGGATCACGAAGAGTCAGATACGACTGAGTGACTAACAATTTCACTTTCCAGTATTCTTGCCTAGAAAATTCCATGGACAGAGGAGCTTGCCAGGCTGTAGTCTATGGGGTCACAAAGTGTAGGACATGACTGCGCGCACACACACACACACACACACACACACAATTTGTGTATAAGACATATCAGACTTATTTTTACATGCTCAATATATACCTTGTTTAGTACTGCATCTCCATTTGCATGTGCTTCTTCCAAGACCAGTTGTCTTCATGTGATCATATATTTTTGTAAAATTTCCAAAGATATTTTAACAGAAATTAAGACCACTGTCTTTTCCCAACTCACCTTCCCTTGAGTCATGGCTGCAGGTATGTATATTTTTAAATTATGAATGTATGATAACCCATTGATAGGATACTTGGAGAATATAGAACAAAGTTGCATATTGTTCATATATATATATATATATATATATAAGTGATTTCCCTGGTGCTCAGGTGGTAAAGAATCTGTCTGCAATGCCAGAGACCTGGGCTTGATCCCTGAGTCGGGAAGATCCCCTGGAGAAGGGAATGGCAACCCACCCCAGTATTCTTGCCTGGGAAATCCTATGGACAGAGGAGACTGGCGGGCTACATACAGTCCTTTAGGTCAACATGACTGGGTGACTGACACTCACTTCACTATGTATTACAATTATTTTTCTAAGTAGATAAGATTTTTATTTGGAGTTTAAATATGAAACTCTCAAAAATTAATAGAATGAATAGACAGAAAAGTAGAAGGATATAGTAGACCTGTAAAGCACGATGGACCAATTCAACATAATTTTTATACAATTTTCACAAAACAGCAGGATACAAATTCCATTCAAGTTCCCATACACTATAAACCAGGAGACACTGGAACATATCCAGGGATGTAAAAATGTAAAACAACATGCAAAAATTTCACAGCCTAAAGATATTGAAATCATACAGAGTCTGTTCTCTTAACACTGTGGAATTATATTAGCAAACAATATCAAAAGATATTTGAAATAAGAGACATATTTTCAAGTGCCATGTGATACTTATCAAGAGAGATCTTTGACATACTTACTGAAAGCCTCAAAAAAGTTAAAAGATTGAAAAATACAGAGGGTGATTGCACAGAAGAAAGCATTTAAATGAGAAATTAATATCAAAGTGAGAAATTAACATAGCACATACTTAAAATCCCCATATATTTGGAAATCAAGTGTCTGCTTTTAAATGATGGATGTATCTAATAAGCTATAACAAAGAAAATTAGAAAACATTCGTAATGGAATAAAAGTGAAAAGAGAATTTATTAGAATTTTTTGCATGGAGCTGAAGCTGCTCAATGCAAGTAAATATAAGGTGGCATCTTGAATAAGGTATAAAAACACATAAGGGCCACTAGCATAAAATTTTGTGAAATTTGAAAAAAATCAGTACTTTAGTTAATAATATTGTATCACATGTTAATTTCATATATTTTTTTACAACATGTTATTCCTTTATATTCTCAGAATTGGCTTAGAAGTTTCAAGACTCATAAAATATTTTTTTTTTAAATCGCTAAAATAATAAGGTTTTTAGACTTCTAGCAGTCATACTAGATGTCAGAATAAATGGAATTATATGAAAGTTTTGAGTGACTATAAATTATAAATCTAGCATTCTATTCATACTTAGTCAAACAAGTATAACCAAAATGTCATGTATTTTTTAGCTAAGCAAAAATTCATGTTTTCTAAAATATATATATTGTACATCTCTCTCTCTATATATATGTATACAAAAGCTTTTCTACTACACATGATAAAGGTTTGAGAAAGAACAACAATAAGAAAAAGAAAAATTGGAAAACATAAACTGAATGAAATGAGAGCACTGAATATGAAACAGAAAAACTGAAACAAACTAGATAAAAGTAAATGATCATCATCTAGTCCAGTTGTTTTTGAACTTGGCTGCTCATTGGAATCATGTCAATGGCAGATATTTTTGTGGTCTGGTTAAGAGTAAGTTGCCACAAAAAAATGACTTGATGAAGATCAAATAAACCTCATTGTATGACACTGTATAAAGGACATTGTCATGGAACTGGTTAATTCTCAAATAATATTTAAGCTTTTGCATACAAAAACTTGAAATGTCTTCCAATTTTATAGTTATCAGCAATTCTAATAGAGCTTTTCTCAGTTTTAAACTAGTTATAAACCTAAAATAAAACTTTCTAATCTATTAATAGAAAAATAAATTTAAATATACTTTAGTCTGACTCCTCAGAAATTAGAGCTTGAGACAGAGGGATTATGCACTCCTTTATCGTTAGGGAGTGCAGGCCCAGAGGGCAGACGTCAGGTACAAGGAGCAGAGAAGGCTTGTTACATGTCTGGCTGCCCCTAAGTGGGTAGGTGGCTGTATGTTGGAGCATCCTCATTGTGACTGATGTAACGTGCACAATGGTTTTACAAAGTTGCTTGCCCTATCAATGCCAGGAGGTGTTTGTTATTGGGATGGGGAAATAACCTTACAGTGCTAACTTGGCTTAGAGATATGCACCTTTGCACCCCCTTTCTCAACAATAAGATTGCTGCATCTCATCTTGCCGGTGTGAAATTCTAGAGCAGCGTCTGCCGCTGACTCTTCTATAACCGCTTTTTATTTGTTTTCACGAGAATTTTAGGAATACATTGTTAGTAAACAAGCGATGCAAGTAGGTTTTTAAAAATAAAGAGAGGACTAGTAGTTGGTAGATTTTTCATACATTTTAATCATAACTGAACTATCCTGTACTGCTTGGAGAAAAGTATTTGATGTAGAACTAGAGTTTATTTTAAGGAAATTAACTTTAAATTAGTGAAAGTTAGGCAGTAAAAACGTATTGATCTGGGAACCAGAGTACCAGGCTCCATAGTGTGAATAATTAACTGGCCTGACATTCAGGTAGTCTAGATTATGATGCTACCTCCTTCCTCAAATCTTTTTGTTGCTTGTCAAGTCCACTATGTCCAATCAAATGGCTATCATTAAACTGTACAAATTTGAATGGGTTATCAGAACCCAGCTGAACTAGCTGTTTAATGCCAAGGAATAGCCACAAACAAGATTACTTTAATCAGTTTGTACTTACACATACTTTGGTCACATTTAAATGGCTAGTGTTAATTTAAACATGTCTAGGAAAATTTTTTGTGTGCCTGTAACAATCAAACTAGGCAGGCAGTAGTATCTAAGGAGAATAAAAAGGAACAGTTTTGAATTACTCCTTACTTATTCTTTGAATACATAGAAGTTTAATTTTTTTTCATTCTAAGAAATTGTACCTGAGTATATAGGCTGGGGTCCAGTAATGAGACATGCATGGAGTCACACGCTGGTCGATACACAGTCTCTGGCTAGTCAGCTGGTCAGTCAACCAGGCAGCTTTGAATGTGTGTGTCCCTTTTGACCCAGCGTCAGTCACCTTTCATGTCAGGCTTCTTATCTGTCCTTGGTATTGCTACTACTTCTGTCCATCTCACAGATGCTATTGTGTGAATAGACGGAACATGTGAAAAGGATTCTCTAAGTGAGTGTGGAGATGTTTTGCTGTGATGCGATCACTTTTACCAGGAAGACACTCTGAGCTAATGTCTTCTTACAGACTTCCGGTAGTCAAGGTAAAATGTAGTAGGCCTAAAAGAATGGTTTTAGAATTGAAATGTAAACATGAGCTAATGAGTAAATTTTCTGATATTTGGGACAATGTTGCTAGTCTCTCACTGAACAAGTAGAATAAATAATTGTGGTTCCTTTAACCATTAATAAACCAACATCCCTTCTACTTTGTAATGGACTGTATGTTGAGGTTAAAAGGTGGTCCCGTTTACCTCTGTATTCACAGGGCTGGCCTTTGCTGTTCTGTCATCTGTGCACCCAGTGTTTGGCTTGTATGGGTCTCTGTTTCCCGCCATCATTTACGCCATATTTGGAATGGGGCGTCATGTTGCCACAGGTAATAATTTCTGTCTATTCTTATGCTTCTCATGCTGCTAATGAAAGGGACTCAGAAGTGATCATTTGTTAATAACATTTCCAATGCAATTCTCGCTTTACTATTGAAGATATTAGGGCAAATATTATCAGCAACTAATATCAGTAAATATTAGGACAAGATATTTAACTTTTTGTGTCCAATACATACTGTGACTTATTGCTCTATTCCTGTGTAACCAAGGTTATTGTTAAAGATTCCGTTCATTTTTAACTTGTAAGAGAAGGGCAATGTTCTCAATTTACAATAAAATGAAAGTAAGCACACCGAGGAAAAGAGAAGACTGTATAAAATTTAGTCACTCAAATGTTAAAAATTGTTTTCCACGCAATATTTGGATTAGGACTTCCCTGGTGGCACGGTGGATAAGAATCCACCTGCCAATGTAGAGGACACGGGTTCAATCCCTGTTCTTGAAGATTCCACATGCACCGCAACCCTTGAGCCCGCGCTCTAGAGCCGTGAGCCCCAACTGCTGAAGTCCGCGAGCCTGCAGCCCGTGCTCCATGAGAGAGAAGGCACTGCAGGGAGAAACCCGTGCACAGCAACGAGGAGTAGCCCCCACTCGCCACATCTAGAGAGCGCCTGCACAAAGCAATGAAGACCCAGTGCAGCAAAAAAAAAAAAAAAAAATTGGACTACACAATCTTTTAGGTTTCTTCCAGCCTAGATTCTACAGACCCTCTCATTAATATACTTCTTATGTTGCCTAACATTGTGTTATCAAATAAAAGGTGAATCACAAATAAGCTGATAATAGAGTAGGCTGGTTAAAAAAAAAGACTTGGAAGTTAGATAGATCTGGGTGTGTGTCACATTTGTTGTTTCCTATCTGCATGATCTTGAGCAAAATTTTCAAGATATATTTGCTGCTTTCTTGATAGTAAAATGTCAAAAAAAAGTCATGACTGTAGTGAGCATTAGATGAGATAATTGATTTGCAAGTGTCTAATTTGTTACTTGCTACATAAAAATTAATAAAAGCTATAATCATTACAGAAAAGAAAGTGAAGTTGCTCAGTAGTGTCCGACTCTTTGCAACCCCATGGACAGTAGCCTACCAGGCTCCTTCGTCCATGGGATTTTCCAGGCAAGAATACTGGAGTTGGGTGCCATTTCCTTCTCCAGGAGATCTTCCAGAACCAGGGATTGAACCCGGGTCTCCCGCATTGTAGGCAGATACCTTACCAGCTGAGCCACCAGGGAAGTCCTTATACCAGACCTCAATCATTACAGAACTGATACCTTAATCTTAAATGTTAAGGTAATAATAATCGAAGTACTTAAGAGGAAATATCCATAGAGGCATTTTTATCCATTCTGTGTATGCAAGAGCTCAGTCTGCAAATAAGTAATACCATTTTGTGTCTATTTCTTCAGTGGTCAGTTTGTATTATGGAAGAAAACTATATTTCCTACAAGAACAATGTATTATTCTACAGTTTTGCAGATCAGAAGTTTGAAATTAAGCTTACAGGGCTAAAATTAAGATGTCAGTAGAGTTGCATTTCTTTCTCGAGTGTCTAGGGAACAATTCAGTTTTCTTAACTTTTTCAACTTCTAGAGGTCAAGATATTTCCCTCATGTTCAAAGCCAGCAGGACAGCAACTTCAAATCTCTTTCTGACTCTGATCTTTTGCTTCCATCCTCCATTTTTAAACAACCCTTGTGATTACACTGGGCACACCTGGACAATCCAGGATAATCTCATTTGAAGGTCAGTTTATTAGCAACCTCAATCCCACCTGCAATGTTAATTACCCTTTGACATGTACCATGAGGTCTTTACAGGATGTGGATGCATTTGGAAGGCCATAATTCTGCCTATCACATTGATACATGCATTTTCTCATGTAGAAATTAACCTGTAAAATATTGTTTTATTTACGTAAATTCAGCTTCTTATATCAATGGACTCTGTCTTAGGATATAGGGTCAACAATTACCAGACATTTACAACATTGCTATCTAAAGTATGGTCCATGAACTAGTAGGATCAGTGTTATGTGGGATCTTGCTAGAAATGCAAAATCTTGGTTGCCACACCAGATCTATAAAACCAGATTCACCGTTCCACACAGTCTCCAGTTTCTTTTAAATCTGTCTCTTGCTGAATAAAAAGAGGCACAACATGAGATTTTCAGTTTAAATTTTTTATTTGGGGCAAAATGAGGACGGGAGCCCACAAGACGGCACCTCAGATAGCTCTGAGAAGCTGCTCCAAAGAAGTAATGGGGGATGAAGTGAAGTGAAGTGAAAGTCACTCAGTTGTGTCTGACTCTTTTCGACCCCATGGACTATATAGTCCATGGAATTCTCCAGGCCAGAATACTGGAGCAGGTAGCCTTCCCCTTCTCCAGGGAATCTTCTCTACCCAGGGATCGAACCCAGGTCTCCCGCATTGCAGGCGGATTCTTTACCAGCTGAGCCACAAGGGGAGCCCAATGGGGGGTGGGGGAAAGTCAATATATAAGATCTTGGTGAAGAGGGAGTTCAGTGCAATCACACACTTATTTTACAAGAGATTTTCTGCTAGTCACGAGGAGCTGAGGTCATTATGAAGGGATTTAGTGCTCTTCTAGATGTGAGGAGATGCAAGGATCGATCAAATTGCCAACATCCGTTGGATCATCGAAAAAGCAAGAGAGTTCCAGAAAAACATTTACTTCTGCTTTATTGACTATGCTAAAGTCTTTGACTGTGTGGATTGTAACAAACTGTGGAAAATTCTTAAAGACGTGGGAATACCAGATCACCTGTCCTGCCTCTTGAAAAATCTGTATGCAAGTCAAGAAGCAACAGTTAGAACTGGACATGGAAAAACAGACTGGTTCCAAATAGGAAAAGGAGTGCGTCAAAGCTGTATATTGTTACCCTGCTTATTTAACTTATATGCAGAGTACATCATGAGAAACGCTCGGCTGGAGGAAGCACGAGCTGGAATCAAGATTGCCGGGAGAAATATCAATAACCTCATATATGCAGATGACACCACCTTTATGGCAGAAAGTGAAGAAGAACTAAAGAGCCTCTTGATGAAAGTGGAAAAGGAGAGTGAAAAAGTTGGCTTAAAGCTCAACATTCAGAAAACCAAGATCATGGCATCTGGTCCCATCACTTCATGGCAAATAGAAGGGGAAACAATGGAAATAGTGGCAGTCTTTATTTTGGGGGGCTCCAAAGGAGCTGCAGATAGTGACTGCAGCTATGAAATTAGAGGACACTTACTCCTTGGGAAAAAAGCTATGACCAAACTAGACAGCATATTAAAAAGCAGAGACATTACTTTGCCAACAAAGGTCCATCTAGTCAAAGCTATGGTTTTTCCAGTGGTCATGTATGGATGTGAGAGTTGGACTGTAAAGAAAGCTGAGCACCAAAAAATTGATGCTTTTGAATTGTGGTGTTGGAGAAGACTCTTGAGAGTCCCTTGGACTGCAAGGAGATCAAACAAGTCCATCCTAAAGGAAATCCTGAATAGTCATTGGAAGGACTGATGCTGAAGCTGAAGCTGAAGCTCTAATACTTTGGCCACCCAGTTCGAAGAACTGGCTCATTTGAAAAGACCCTGATGCTGGGAAAGATTGAAGGCAGGAGGAGAAGGGGGCGATTGAGGATGAGATGGTTGGATGGCATTACCGACTCAACAGACATGAGTTTGAGTAAACTCTGGGAGTTGGTGATGAACAGGGAGGCCTGGTGTGCTGCAGTCCATGGGCTCACAAAGAGTTGGACACGACTGAACTGAACTGAACTGAAGGATTGGGATCACGAAATCAGTGCCTGAAAATATCTAACTGTCTAAAGTCCTTTTCCACCAGTTTCCCTGGAGCAGAGTGCCTCACTGTCCACCCTGAACTACTTCCAGGGCATGTCAAAGGTCAACAGCTGCAGCAGCACAGAGTTAAATCTCCGCAGGGACAGAGGGTGAATGCACTTGGCAAGCACCAATCTGCTGTTGACACTATCTATCTGTATATGTTTGTGTATATATATATGTACTTAGATTTGAGAACCTCAGATATACTATTAGGTGCTTTATTAAGAACTTTACATATTTTATTTTAATACAACCATTTAAAATAGACATTTTTATTTTGATATTTAGGTTAAAAAAAAAACCTACATTTCAGAAAGGTTTCTGTGAGAGCACAGATTAAGTTGTAGGTGCATGGATTACAAACAAGATGTGGCTAAATCTGAAGCCCAAACTTTTCCTCTTTTCAACCAGCTGCTCAAGGATGCAGTTTGCTTTTGTGCTGATATAAAAGGAAGAAAGCACAATAGTGATTTAGAACTTCTTGAAGCCCATTATATTCAAATTTTCCAGCTCTCTCATTTCCTAACAATTTATTTTCATTCTTCAAAACAGTTAACTATGTCACTAGCAAGAAAAAGTCTATTCTTGTAGAGCTGACCTTGAAGCATTTTCTCTGTTAAACAAAAGATAAATGAAAAAAGTAAAACAATTTCCCAATAGATCATAATTACTTTACAAAAAAAAGTCAAGAATATTTAACTTGATATACCTAAGTATGAGTTTACATAAACCACTTTATTTCCTAAGGAATCATTATTCCTAAGGTGGCATTGCTGTGAAACTGCCATTTATATAACATTTTGTATTTAACAGATATTGTTAACAGCTAACAGTTAACAAATATTATTAACAGGAATCCTGTAGTCTACTAGGTTAATAATATACATTTCAAAATACATATATAATTTACAGACTCTACTGTAGACACTGTGTAACACAATAAATGCTTAAGGCATTTTATTTCTGCATATGTATCAATACTTCTCCAAGAGACAGGGTCAGCTAGAGCTTCTCATTTCTCTATTTATCCTAACACATTTAGAATTCTTTAGAATAGTATTAAAACATTAGCATTGTGTGTATATATTTATACTCAAGAAATATAGTGATTATTTTTTGCTTTTCTATGGTCTTAAATTTAGGAACCAAGTGAATTTCACCTAAATGTCCTGAAAATATTTAGTATAGAGAACATATTTTTCTTTTAAATAATTTTGTTGTACTTTAGTTTGGCATATAGAAGTATGTGAAGCTTCTTACCTCCGTTTTACTATTAAAAGACTGATGTTGCTTTCATAAAGAACAGTCACTTTATCTGGGATTTTAACTCCAATTCTGATAGTCAGAATGCAATAATGAATTAGGAAATGCAAGAATAAATTATGCTTGAGGTATGTTTAAAATCAAATAACTTAAAATCCAGACTATAAAGACACCAAATGTATTGTTTTTTAACAATGTGATTTTTTTTCTTATTTTAATTTAAAATACATATATATTTTTTAAAGGACTAAATCACTGCTTCTTGTGACTTGCAAAGAAAATGTCTTAGAATAAAGAGGAAAAGAACAGAAACTTGGGTATCAATCCAGTGGAAACAAAATTGTTAAAGATAACCCTTAAGTGACAATTTGTAAGATCTAATTATCTTCTAAAATTAGAGAAAAATATTTTTAAAGAGAATAATCTGTTCAGCAATTTAGAGAAAAGATTAGGGAGATCTTCAAGAATAGTCTTTAGAAGAAAAGTAAGCAAATATTTATTTACCAAATGGGGTAGGACTTGTGATAGATGATTTTTACATATGAAATCTCATTTAGTCTCTACCCAAATTTTATGACTAGATATTTATCATCATTTTACCAATAAGGAACTGACCGAGGTTAGATAAGTTGAATAGGAATTTGAACTTAGGAGACCCTGCTATCCACAGTACTCTAAAGCTACTAGATGGGTTTAGTGGTGGTGGCTCAGATGGTAAAGATTCTGTCTGCAATGTGGGAGACCTGGGTTGAATCCCTGGTTTGGAAAGATCCCCTGGAGAAGGGGATGGCTACCCACTCCAGTATTCTTGCCTGGAGAGTCCCATGGACAGAGGAGCCTGGCAGGCTACAGTCCATGGGATCATGGAGAGTTGGACATGACTGAGCGAGTAATACTTTCACTTTCACTCAAAGTTACCACTGGTAGGCTTAAAGCCTAGATAGGGTGAAAAGTTGACAAAGTGAGGGAAGGAGCAGAGGAGACGAGGGGAGGAGATCAAGACAAAGCCAGGCCAATAAGAGAAAGAAGGTCAAATGTCATTCACAGCATCCTCATACGGTCACCACAGCCTCAACATCCTTGACTGTCATCAGCTGTCTCAGAAACAGCAAAGTAACAGCCTTTGAAAAGAGGCAGTGCCTCCATAACCAGTTGGCACAGTGGGTGACCCCCATACACTTTCTGGCAGTATCTCTCTCTAGAGTCACATCTTGGGATGTGACTCACGTGGAGGTGAGATTCACTTTTCTCCCCTCAATAAAACATTTGAGATGGCCTTTTCCTCTTACCATTCAGTTCCTTCTTATCATCTTACAAATCCTAGGAAAGGTAGGCCTACACTTAAAAATTAACCCTAGATCATTTTTGTTCTCAGTTCTCTAGTCGTTTGTTCAGTGGCTTTCATACAGATCATTTTGCTCTATGGCCTAGACTTAAAGGTCAAAAGACACACTTCTTTATTCTCGGGAATATCAAACTTTGAGAAATTTTATTGTAACATATTTGGAAAAAATGTCTTATCAAGAACAGATTCAATGGCAGACATTCTTTATTTGGTATTGCTTATCTTTGATGCCAGAATCTTGTCTCTAATCATTAGATATATTTGTTCTTTGATGTGTTCTTAATTTAATAATTTATGATGAGAACAATGATCATGAGAGCAGATAGTTATTGATGATTTATTGAGAATGACAACTTCCTGAGAGGACACATTTTTATGTGCCATCAACTCAATGGAACAGTTAATATTGAATAACAGAGCATTTTGGTTTTAATCTCATTGTGAATTATCTTTTTTAGGTGCCATATGTTGTGATATGTGGCATATATATAAATGTGTGTGTGTGTATAATTTTTTAGTTCCTAAGTCATGTCCAACTCTTCTGACCCCATGGACTGTAGCCCACCAGGCTCCTCTGTCCATGGGATTTTTCAGGCAAGAATACTGGATTGGGCTGTCATTTCCTTCTCTAGGTGATTACATTATTTCTTTTAAGTCTCATCACAACCCCATTGGGTGAGGGATGCTTTCTATGTTTAGATAAAGAGATCGAGATGCAGTGTGCTGGGATTTAAGGTGAGGTTTATTGGAGGCTACCATCATCATACTATTCTGAATCACAGCACATACTGCCTTATCCTGTGAAACCAAGGGATTGCTTATGTTGGGTTTTTACTGAGACCTTGTCTCTGTTTGAATTGGCTCTCTTGATCTATGAGGCTGCATGCCATTTGTTGAGATGTCTACATCTTGTGATGTAGACCCTTTTTCACAAAGTGTCGCTTATGATCTGGGGCAAACTAAGGTCTTTAGGTAGTGAGTTGGAATGTTTGCACAATGCTGCAATTTGTTTCTTTAGTTCCAAATTGCTGCACCCTCTTTGTGGGAACTGGCCTGCCGGTGTGGCTGCATTCTCAGACATGCTGCGCCAAGATAAGAGCATGAGAACTCTTGGCAGAAAGAGGAACATGCTGAAAATGATCCTGCATTTCTGTGAGGCCAGGACAATTCTTGGGAAATACCTTTGAATCATATCTGGGTATAGTAGACAGGAATGGTATATTTAATCATTTTATGGGCCACAGCATGTTGTTGTTTCTGTGCCCTGAATAGAAAGATTAAACCTGGCCCGGAAGGTCTGGGATGGATCTATGTTGAATATGGGATTTGAGCCAAACAAGGAAAGACAAGGGTAGATTGTCTGAGTAGATTGGAGGAGCAAGCATTTCAGCAGTGAGTCTCAGATTCAGCAAAGGGTCCCATTTTCCATATGAACTTATTGAGGTGTTTATCATCTCTTTCATATTCTTCTCAAACTCTAGAACATAGGCATTATTACCTTCATTTTTTTTTAAAAGCAGAGACATTACTTTGCCAAAAAGGTCCGTATAGTCAAAACTATGGCTTTTCCAGTAGTCATGTATGGTTGTGAGAGTTGGACTATAAAGAAAGATGAGCACCGAAGAATAGATGCTTTTGAACTGTGGTGTTGGAGGAGACTCTTGAGAGTCCCTTGGACTGCAAGGAGATCCAACCAGTCCATCCTAAAGGAAATCACCCTGAAGGACTGATGCTGAAGCTGAAGCTCCACTACTTTGGCCACCTGATGCAAAGAGCTGACTCATTAGAAAAGACCCTGATGCTGAGAAAGATTGAAGGCAGGAGGAGAAGGGGATGACAGAGGATGAGATGACTGGATAGCATCCCCTACTCAATGGACAGGAGTTTGAGCAAGCTCTGGGAGATGGTGAAGGACAGCAAAGCCTGGAGTGCTGCGGTCCATGGGGTCGCAAAGAGTTGGGCATGACTGAGTGACTGAACAAGGGCAACAGCAACAGCCTCATTTTATGGATGAGGCGATTTAGACTCAGAGTAATGCACTTTATGCTGCGATAGTGATAAATGGAGGAGCTGGATTCAAGTCCAGACTAGGACCTTTATCCATGCCCTGCATTCTCTATATAGGTCTGCAGAGAGGTGGGAAAACATATGGCCTAGGAGGGAATAGCAAGTAGATAGTGTGGCTGTGCAAGAAATGCGCAAGTAATATGTGTGTATAAAGGTGAGTTCTGTTTATTCCAGAGTGAAGGGTGGAGTAGTGGGGTTGCAGAGGAGAGTGCTTCTAAAAGATCTGTTTTGGTTTTACAAGGTAGATTCACCTTTAATGGTGGAATACAATAATGTTTATTCAGTCTGATACTAACAGAAGACTCCCTTTCCCTTTTTAGGCACTTTTGCCTTGACGTCCTTAATATCAGCTAATGCAGTGGAACGACTTGTCCCTCTGAGCAGTCAGAACCTCACCACACACAGTAACACAAGTGTGCTGGGATTATCTGACTTTGAGATGCAAAGGATCAGTGTTGCTGCAGCTGTTTCCTTTCTGGGCGGTGTGATTCAGGTAAGTATACTGAAACTGGTGAATAAAGAAAGGGAGAGAGTGTCCAGGAAAAGGAAATTGGTGCTTTATTAAACTTTTCTCTTCAATTGAATTTTTCTTCCAGTTTTATTGAGATAATTGCCACAACACTGTATAAACTTAAGGTATACAGAAAAATTATTTGATATACATACATCATGAAATTTAAGTTTCATGAACATCCATCTCCCTGGTGGCTCAGCTGGTAAAGAATCCACTTGCAATGCAGGAGACTTGGGTTTGATCCCTGGGTTGGGAAGATCCCCTGGAGGAGGGAAATGCTACCCGCTCCAGTATTCTGGCCTGGAGAATTCCATGGACTGTATAGTCCATGGGGTCACAAAGAGTCTGACACGACTGAATGACTTTCACTTTCAATTAGAGCAATGAGGTGTTAATTTCAAGGCAAGGTGGAACCATTTAAAATGCCCATATCAGTTAGTATTTTTGCTGGAGAATCAAGCACTCAATAAAAATTATGGCACTTTAAAACCAAAACTATTTTTCTCTTTTCTCTGTAGCTTTTATTATCCTCTATAATGGGCAGTTTGCCTTTTTTCCTTTTTCTGAGAACTTAAAGTGGTCTGGGATTACTTTTGGAAAATTTCCCAAGCTTTTTTTCCTGAAGCAACCACTGGACAACATTTCTGCCCCAGAGGACACAGGGATATATAGCTCTTTACACAAGCATAGGGTGACATTGCTGGAGGTATTTAGTGACAGAGCCTTTTATTATTGTACTGGTACATTCTGGAAACACATAGTCTTACATCTAAAGGACGGTAAGAACAACTGCAGACCCAATTAAGAGATTCTCCACTTACTTTTGATTTTGTACTAGACATTTTTTTGCATCTTTTAAATAAAGGGATCATGAGTATAGAAAGGATTTAGGATGTTAACTAGTTTAACCTGCCTATTCAACAGATCATTCTTAACTCTTTCCAGAAAAATCAGTTTTATTCTATTGTAATGCTGGGGGAGGACAATCTAAAGTTCCTTTTGATGATGTTTCACTGTTTCACAACCATTATAGACAAGAAGCCATTACTGTTTAAATCTTTCCAGCTGTGCACCCACCTAGTAAAGCAAAGATGCAATTCACTTAATAAAATTAGAATTAAAAGCCTTAAAATTATAAATTGAAAATTCCTCACATTAAAAATAGTAATTATAATTCATTACCCTACTATGTGCTAAGCTCCATTCTAAGCATGTATTCATATATTCAACCTCTGTCAGTATTGTATGAAATAAATATTCTTCTTCCCATTATACTGATGAAGATACTGAAAAGTAAAGCAACTTATTTAGAATCTGATAATTAGCAACTGGCAGGGTAGGAGTTGAATTAAAAAATAGAGTCTCTGAAGTGCTGTGCTGCACAGCTTTTAAAACTAATATTGTGAAAGGAAGCAAGGAAACTCAGTTCACCACCTTTTCAAGCCAGACAGCATGCTAGTGTCTCCCACACTTTATCCCCTTGACAATTGCAGCAACCGTGCTTTAGGCGTGATTCGTCTGGTGGGGCAATATCCTTGGTTATATAACTGTGTGTCTGTCATTCTTGAGACCTTCCGGGTCTTTCTCACACCACTTATATGACATCGCTTGTACTTCTTTCAAGGCTCAGCTCAAATATAATCATCTCAGAGAAATATTCATTGACATCTCTGGACTTCCTCTAGAAGACTTTGGACCTGACTTACATGTTAGGACTTCTCAATCTACCAGAAAATATTTTCCGGGTATTTGCCTCTCTACCTGGAATTAGTCTCTAGAATTGTTGAACTCTATAATTCTAAGAGCTGGTACAGAATAAATGTGAGTTGAATCACTTGAATAAGAATAACGTTAACTAGATTTTAGTAGCACTGTCATGTCAAATAGGCAAAATTAAATTGAGATTTTATTTTTGTGTGTTCTAGTTTATCATTTTCTCTCTTCACCCCCCCCCCCCCACCAGAAGATAGGGAATGGGTGTATATCTGTTTAAATTGTAACACAATTCCTAATGAAAAAGGAGTAAAAAAAAAAATGTATATAATTTTTTACTTTGGTCATCGGTTTTGTCAGATCCATCTAGCTAAAAGGTGAAGACTTTTTCAATGAAATCTCCCACCTCTTCTCACAATCATCCCCCAGCCAACGCCTGAAGAAAAATAAAAATACAACCATTCCTACAACTCCCCCACTCCTCCGTGTCTTTTAATAATATCATGCTCCAATCATCCCATTTTAAAACTTAGTTGTTTTCTTTAGCTCGGGCAGAATTCCTTTCCTATAGCGTGCACGCATAGTCACTAAGTTGTGTCCGACTCTTTGGACTGTAGCCTGCCAGGCTCTTCTGTCCATGGGATTTTTCAGGCAAGAATACTGGAATGGGTTGCCACTTCCTACTCCAGCGGCTATTCCCAATCCAGGGATGGAGCCTGCACCTCCTGCGTTGCAGGCAGATTCTTTAACCGCTGAACCATCGGGGAAGCCCAGTGGAAGGCTGAAGAGTAAAATTGTTGTCCATCCCTCGCAGCTCTGAGTCTCACTGCCTGTTACATTAGAGGCTATTTTCTTTTCTACAAAAGTCTGAGAACTGAAAAGATTTTGGTGCTGCCTTCAGCCATGCAATTCCAAATAAAACTAATTCCTAATTCCTAAGCAGTGAATTTCTACTCTATTCTGTAATAAAAAATAAAATGTGAATTGTGCTGGTTACCTGCTGAATGATACACTGTTTGCCTCAGATCTGTTGCCCATTCCTGCTATGTTCAATGTAGGTGTTTTCGTCTCTTTTACTCTTGCTGCTCCTCTCGGCAGGAGAAGGGGGTGACGGGGGATGAGATGGTTGGATGGCATCATCGACTCAGTGGATGTGAGTTTGAGTAAATGCCGGGAGATAGTGAAGGACAGGGAAGCCTGGTGTGCTGCGGTCCATGGGGTCTCAAAGAATCAGACAGGACTGAGTGACTGAACGACAACTGCTCTTATGCTAACCTTTTAAACAGCCAGTGGTTTCACATTCTATCATCAGACTCACGCTACCAAAGTACAACCTGATTTTTGAGCCAGCGTGCAACAGTGATGTCATTGCTGAGTCCTTTCAATGAGTATTCAGGGATGATTCCCCTCAGGAAAGTGTGCAGCATACTTGTTTGCAAAATTAGGTGCTCAATAAATGCAGGGAAGAGTGATGTCACTCACACCTGGAAAACTCTTATTTTCACTACATTTTGTTGTTATTGTTCACTCAGTCATGTCCGACTCTTTGCAACCCCATGAACTGCAGCACACCAGGCTTCCCTGTCCTTCATTGCCTACCAGAGTTTGCTCAAACTCATGTCCATTGGGTCGGTGATGCCATCCAACCATCTCATCCTCTGTTGCTCCCTTCTCCTCATGCCTTCAGTCTTTCCCAGCATCAGGGAAAGCATCACTGCTTCTAAACTGCTTTATACTGTGACTTCAAAGTGGCTTGTTTTACTGTTGTTATTACCTTTTGGCTAGTTGTGCTTCTTCTAAACTAACAATGCTGCGTCTTCCGTACATAGTCTGTGCTGTCCTGCTTTATATGTGTATTCTTCCCTCTTTCTGGAATTCTTTCGAATAGCGTCTTTCTTCTTGGATTCCGTAAGCGTCAAGATACAATTATATTCCTGTCTAGCAGTATTGCATTCTCCTTCTGGAAAACTAGTGGCACATTTTCTGTTCCTCTCTTTTATATGTGTGCAGGTTTGTCTTGGTGTGGTTATCTGCACAATCATGTCTCTGAAACCCAGCTGCTTAGAGCTTCTCCTAGAGTCCGTCTTTTCCCTGTCCCTGTGTATGTGGAACTCGGGAACTCGTATTGAACAATGCATGCATGTTGGAGAAATACAGACTTACCTGAGGTTCCTGTGAGAGAGGTAGAGGAGGCTTTCTTCTCTTTTTAATTTTTTTTTAACAAATTTCTTGATTTAGAATTTTTTTAAGTAAAGTTGCAAAGATAGTACACAGTTGCCACGTATCCTACGCACCCACAGTTTCCCCTATTATTGATATCTACATTAGTCACAACTAACGTATCAGTCTATATACACTGCATACATTGTAATCATACATTATAATCGGATTTCCTTAGATCTTACCTGATGTTTTCTGTTCCAGAATCCCATCTGGTGTACCACTTTACATTTAGTTGTCTTGTCTCCTGGTAGGGTCCTCTTGCCGGTTAAAATGTCTGAGACTTTTCTTGTTTGTGATGATCTTGACAGTTTTGAGGACTACTGGTCAATAGTCTCTAGAATGTCCCTTAACTGGGGCAATTTGTCTGATGTTTTTCTCATGATTAAACTGGGGTTGTGGGTTTTGGAAAGAAAGATGAGAGAGATAGAGTGATATTCTCATCACATCTTATTAGGAGTACAGACTATCAACTCTCTTAATGTTAACCCGGATCACCAGGCTGGACTAGTGTTAATTTGTCAGGTTTCTTCAAATTACTCTATTTTCCACTTTTCCAAACTGCAGTTTTTGGAAAGAAGTCAATATGCACAGCCCACTCTTAAGATATGGGAGTTATGTTAAAGAAAAGTTAAGATAAAGAGTGGGGAGTATCTACATAAATTACTGGAATTCTTCTGAACAGGAGTTTTCCAACTCTCTCATTTTAAAATGTAATCAATCATTTATATCAGTATGGACTCAGGGTTATTTATTTTATCCTTTGGGTTATAATTCAGTACAGCTTTATTTATGTTGTTCTTTACGTTGTGCTGGCTTTGAGCATTGGGGGCGTTTTTTCAGTTGGTTTTTATGTCCCTCCTTGATATGCTCTCATTTATTTGTTATTTTTGGAGCTCTTTTTTATTTTCTGGCACTACAAGATGATCTAGGCTCATGGTATATATTTCCTACCTTAGTCATAGAATCAGTCATATTTCTAAGGAGATCTGATTTCTTTTGTTGGAGAATGCTATTAGAAATTAAGATTTATGTGCTGGGTGTGC